TAGGTTTTTCATGATATATAAAGGATGAGACAAAAATAATATACACATAATCTTAAAATTTCTACTGTCATAGTTTAGTCAACTAGTTTAAGGAACAAAATATAAATCCAGTCAATGTTTATCTGAGAATATTTGGTTCTTTACCCAAGCCTTATCTATATAGCACATGATAATTAAAAGAATCAGATAGGTAGAACTAACCTTATTGGATGTTTAACAGCCATACTTTAAGGCCTATACTAATATGGTCAGAGGTACTTAAAGGACAGTTTTTGCCCCTTGCCCTCCAAGGTCAACCAAGTTCCAGGGGACTATGGAACATGTCTCAAAATGTCCTGTAAATGTGGTGAGACACTTGTCCTCTTGTTTATGGAGGACATGGAGACCCCGTGAGATGGACTTGAACCAGTGTCCTGTCTATAAAGAGGAGGGTCAACTTAGAGGAAACATCTCATTCATGCTTCCAAGTGAAGCTAGACATGGTTGAACAGAACCTTTGACTTATCTTCACATAGATGGAGTTGTTAAAAGAAAGGAGCCAGGAGCTCCTCCCAAGCCCATGTGACCCCTGAGGAACAGATCCTCAAGTGACCTTAATAAATTGATTTATTTGGGCCAACTGTATGGTCTCAAACACCCCAAAGGAAAGTATAACCAAAGAGTAAAGTCATCAGTATACTTCTTTAAGAGTTCAAGGGAATACACTTCCCAGGGGAATACACTTCCCAGACATTAGGCTTAAGTCTATATAAAAAGTTATTTAGACAATTATTTCTCATTCATGATTTCGTTCCTAACCAGAAAGTGCTACTCAGATGTAAGATTTCAAATCTTGGTCTCCAATACTGTAGTGCCCGCCTGGAGCTAAGGGAGACAACCCGCTATTGTTCTAAAATGATGGATGAATTTGTTTTCTCCCCCTATTTAGAAGCCTTCGAGAGGGAACTGATACTGATTCTAACTACTCCAACAGCTATCAAAATACCTGAAAGCAAATCCTGAATCCATCACTCTAGAGTCCAGCCTTGGAAGACAAAAGAAAAATGAGGATGAACCCAACAGAGGGATGATTTTGGAAGCCCTTTTCAAGAAATTCCAATGGACGCTCATATGAACATTTGAAAATTGCCCTGTTCTGACTTTTTTCTAGTTCCCTGTCTAGAACTTGTAATGCTAATTACTCTTGCCTTTACTTCTTCACATCCCCTAATCACGATTCAAGGACTTTCTTTTCCCCTTAGAGATAAGAGTCATGCAATTTGGGAGTCTTTTAGATAGACCTACTGAAGGGGTACTCCAATTGCCTCACCCTGTATCCCTGTTCAGCATGGAAGAAGCCAGAGCAGTCTGCGTCCCTATTCCCTATTGGCAATTTGGGTAACCCCTATAGATAATGGTGTGATAAGAATAGGAGGTAGGAACTGGCTAGGCAGTTAGGGTAAAAAGACCCCAAAGAAGAGTAGCCAGTTTCTTGGCTAAAAGTCAAAATGTGCTTGGGCCTGTTAGCAACATACTCTGTTCCAAAGGCCAAAAATGTCCAAAGTATTTGGGAGCTTTTATCTAATCCTTAAAAGATTTTAGGGTTGCCTATTCAGAGGGGAGGATGTTAGAGTACACAAAAGCCCCATAAAAATAAATAAATGAAAGAAAAAAAAAGAAAAAGAAAAAAGTGATGGGGAGATATGGGAGGTGTTGGAAGGGATGGAGTGGGCATGGATTTGATCAAAACACTTTATATGCAATGTATGAAATTCTCAATAAAGTTTTTGTGAAAGTAAAAAAAAAAAAAACACATTGGCATCAGCAAAAATTAAAAAAAAAAAAGATCCAATAGGCATTGTGACAGTGTATTTACCAGCTTTTGGAGTCAAGAGCCTACTCAGTGCTAATGTTGTTTATCTTGTTTATTCAAATTTTGTTTTCTTTAAACAATTCCAAATATACTGACATTAAATAACTCAGCAGAGTATTTCTGGAAATAAAACATGATTTGCTTAAACTTAAGTTAAATTGGACAGACAGACAGACACACACACACCCCAACTGTGTACTTTATGAATTGGCCACTTACAGCGTCTCTGGATCCTTAATTGCACAAAGATTAAAACTAATAAAAAGTAACTGAGAGGCAGAAATATAACAGTATATTATTAGAAGCAGTAACAAAAGTAAAATCATGGTTTACAGATGGGCCACAAAGATTCAGTTTGGCCTACCACGAACTTGAGAGAAAGGTGGCAGCGACACTGGTCATTGTGTCTCTGTGGGCAGTAGCACTGCACTGTTCACTATAATTCACTGCAGGGGACTCAGAATGTACTATAGTTACATAGTGCTGGATGATTTGAGAGAGCTAAAGAAGGTATTATTATTGTACTATATGCAATATATTACATATTGTCTAGTGTGTAGATACACATACATATACATTATCAAGATGCATAGGGTTCAAAATACATGAAGCACATATACTATATAGCATATTGGTTTATTATTATTATTTTTATTTTATGTGTATGTGTGTATTGCCGGCATGTAGATGAGTACACCAGAGTCGTGCAATGCCCGTGAAAGACAGAAGAGGCTGTTGGATCCCCTGGAACTGGAGTTATGGACAGTTGTTAGCTGCCAGGTAGGTGCTGGGATTTGAACCCGGGTCTTCAAGAACAAACGGTGTTCTTAACCGCTGAGCCATCTCTCCAGCCCCACTATATAGCATACTGAATAACTACTATGTGCACTGTACTATCTAGGAATATAACAGTAAAGAAGACAGAATTCAAGACCTCAGTGGATTTGTTTTGGAAACAAGAGATTATCAAGTGATGTTAAACCTGATTGTCAACTTGATGAGATTTAGAATCACCATGGAAACAAATCTCTGATTATGTCTGTGAGAGAGATTTCTCTAGATTAGGTTCACTGAGATGGGCAGTGCCATTCCACAGGCTGGGGTCCTGGACTGAATAAAAGGCGAAATGCAAGCTGGGAACAAGCATTCATCCTCTTGACTTCTTGACTGCAGATGACCAGTCACCCTCTGGCCTGGCCATCATGACAGATTGTATTCCCTTCAACTGTAAGCCAAAGTAAATGTCCCCCTCTTTCCCTCCCTCTCTCCCTTCCTTCCTGTTGCTTTTGTCAGGTACTATGTTGTGGCAATAAGCCAAGTAACTAATACAGGAGGATACATGTTCAATATATAATATACATTTAATTTTAAACTTAAAAAAATTTTTTTTAAATTGAGACCTGATGTGAACTCACTACATAACTGAGGATGATCTTGAATTTCTGATCCTTCTGCCTCCATTTCCTGAGCACTGAGATTACAGGCTTATGCCACCAAGCCTGGGTTTAACATGGTGCTGAGGACTGAACCCAGCTTTGCGTATGCTAGGCAAGCACTATCTACCAACTGTGCTACATCTGGAGCCCAGTATATAATATATGATAGGAAAAAACTGAATGTTCACAGAAAAGACTATATAGAGAATAATTAGTGATGAGAGTATCTATTCATTATGTAAAAATATCTACATATAATAGAGGAGAAAATATACTATGGAAAGACAACATAATTATGTAAGAGTAGATAAGTGTAACAGTATAGAAAAGTTATCTGTATCACTATGATAAGATATACACAAACCTAAGTATGTAAGTATATACAGATTTAACATACTGAAAACAGATGGCAGTGTATACTGAGATAAGAGTAACCACTAATTATTTAATGGACTTTCTTCTAAGTACTTTTTCTTTAATATCCTAGCAACTCTATGAAGACAGTACTATCTCTACTTCACAACTAATGATTGTTGACCCCCGAGAGGTGAAGAACTTGTGCCCAAGGTTTCAAGGTCATACAGGTAACACAGTCAAATTGTGCTAGAGTCTCTGCATTATAAGGCTTATAATACATAGGTAGATATTATACATAGTAGAAGATACAAATATACTACACAGGAGAGGGTGTGTGTGTGTGTGTGTGTGTGTGTATGTGAAATATACAGCAAGAGTTATAGGTTAAATATATAGTGGGAGGTTTGTATATGTAAAAATACATAGGAGAAATATATATTTCATCATATAAGCTCCCATATGGCAAGAACTGTATTAAATATGTAACTGTATAGGAGGAACTTTGTATGTTTGCACACAGGAGTCCGTTATCACTGATATTCTCTAATTCCCTTCCTAGACTGATCACTACTTTCAACTCACACTGCTGATTGCTGAGACACAGGCTTCTCTGAGATATCACCCTAAGCATGTTCACTATCATTTGAATTACAAGTCAACTGGGAGTGTTTCCATAACTGTTTATAAAAAGTTATTTTAGCCATGGTTTTCTTTAAAAGCGTTTTTGTTTGAAAGTTTTCATCCAACCTCAGTTGAACACAATATGAAGTCTTGATAAGGGTGAGCTGCCCCAAAAGCAAGCTGCTAAGTGAATAAGAAATGAAGACTGTGATAAGCAGAGGACAGCTTTAAGAACAATAAAACCTAAATTTCTAGGAGCATTCTCAAAGAGAAACTGAACTATTCATGAAATAAGAATTAGGTTTACAAGGTAGGGACATTCAGAGAGATGCATGTAGAGAGAAAGAAGGTGTTTGCTCTTGGAAATAGTGGGGATTTTTTTTCTTTCAAATTTTTTTCAGTTTGTTTTCTTAAATTAACAGAGGGTTTGGAAGAAATCCATAGGTCAAAACTGAAAATAGGAAGAAATAAAAGAGTTAATTCTAGTGTTAAAACATTCATAAGAACAATACAAGAAAACTTCTCAGAGCAAAACACTACAAGAAAAGTCCATCTAAGGCTGGGCATGGTGGTACAGGAGCACTCAGCACTCAGGAGGCAGAAGCAGGTAGAGTTCAGTGAGTTCCAGAGCAGCCGGGGCTACATAGTTAGACTTTGACTAAAAAGGAGGGGGGGTAGGGGGGAGGCAGGCATATCAAAATATACCAGCATAAAAACTGACCTGTAGGTATGTTTTAAATTTTAAAGCACCCAAAGGATAAAACAAAGAAAAATATTAATGAACAGGCCAGATGACAGAATGGTATGATTATACTATATACTTTTTTGATGGGCAGATAGTACAACACCATCAAATTTATAGCAAAAAATCTATATGCTAAAATGTCACAGCTGCTCTCAAAAAATTTAGGCACCATGCATCTTTCCTCAGGATAATTCTAAAGGTATGTACTATAAAAGCAAGGAGTCAAAACAAGGACAAGAAAAACAAGAGTAGAAACAAGGAAAGAAAAACAAGAGATCCAGTCATGGAGGAAGTGACGGTGATATCCAGGGACAGGGCCCAGGCTGGGGTTGAAGGCTTCACTGCAAGTCAGGAGCACAATCAGGCTGGAATGAACCAGGGGACAAAACTTATATAGGGAGCTTCTAGGAAGAAAAACAAAACAATGATGTAATTCTGACACTTGAGAACATAGTGAGAGCAGTTACTGTCAGAAAAGCCAGGGACAAATTAGTGAGAGGAGAAACCCAACTCTTCCTGGATCCTTAGACCCTTTAATTCCATCACCTTGTTCTAAGAGAGGCTACACTATAAGGCAGTGAACAGATGCTGCTACCTCTAAGCTCAAGACTGTCATGCATTTATATAGAGCAATGAGAATAAATAAGTGCTGGCTTAGTATTGATTAAAAATGCTAGTGGTAATTTAGTGATGAATATGGTGCTGATTTAAAAAATAGTTATCAATAATGTCATTTTGAAAAAAATCAGCATTAAATCACTGAATTGTACTAGAATATTTGTTGAATTATATTTTTGTTAACAACTGAGTTGATTGCTCTTGCAGAGGACCCGGGTTTGATTTCCAACATCCACATGGCGGCTACGAACCATCCTTAACTCCAATCCAGGGGAATCTGAAGCCCACTTTTGACCTCTGCGGCATTGCACAACATGGATGCACTCACATACAAACAGGCAATATACTCATACACATAAAAAATAAAAATAATAAAAAATTTAAAAAAATATATATATCTTTTGGGGCGGTAGAGATGGCTCAGCGGTTAAGAGCACTAGCTACTCTTGCAGAGGACCTGGATTCGGTTTCCAGCACCCACATGGCAGCTAACAACTATCTGTAACTCCAGTTCTGAGGGCATTTCATCACATGGGTGTACTTACATACATGCAGGCAATTCATTCATATACATAAAATAAAAATAATAAAAAAAAATTTTTTTTTTAATGTGTCTTTTGAGCTGGGTGTGGTGGTATACACCTTTAATCCCAGCACTTGGGAGGCAGGGGTAGGTGAATTTCTGAGACTAAGACCAGCCTGGTCTATATAGTGAGTTCTAGGCCAGCCTGGTATAAGGGAGACCCTGTCTCAAAAAAAAAAAAAAAAGTGTCTTCTGCTCTTTTGCATATTATAATCCATAGTTTCTAGTGCTTTGTTTATTTCACTAAATGGGAAAGTCATCCTTAAATTTAATCTGGACTTCTCAGATATAAACAAATATATTTTTGAGAGTCTAAACGAATATACAAATCAAATTAGTTTTTAAAAAGTAGATCAGGACTGGAGAGCTGTCTCAACAGTTAAGAAAACTGGCTGCTCTTGCAGAGGACCTGGGTTTGGTTCCCAGCACCCACATGATGGCTAACAACCATCTGTAACTCCAGTTACAGGGGATCCAACACCCTATTCAGGTCTCTGTGGGCACTGCACAACATGGGTGCACTTACACACATGCAAGTGAAACAGTAAATACATAATAGAAATAAATAAATTAAAAAATTAGGTAGTACCAAGGGGGTTGTAGCTCAGTGGCCCCAACATAAAAAAAAATAAACAAACAAACAAACAAACAAACAAACAAACAAACAAACAAACAGGCCCTAGGTCTGATCAACTGTTCATTCAACATCTACCTACTGGATGTGCCAAGGCCTAGAAATATATATAAAGACAAATTAACAGATGCTGTATATACATGAATAAAATTTATTTTAATTAGTTATAACTTCAAGGAAGTTGAAATTGGTAGAAATTCAAAGGAAAAAAGCATTTCACCCCCTCAGCTGACTTGTGCCTATGGCTGGACAAGCCAGGACTTACCTGTAGTGTGGTGGGGGAAGCTGCTGGATGACATCATGGATTTTTATCAACCTTTCTTCATCTGTTGCTGCTGAAACAGCATCCTATAACATAGAGTAAAATAAACCAGTGGGCTTTGCTGGTACAAATCAAGAGGTCCTGATTTATAACCTCACTCTTAAGATTAATTTACTTTGCATTTTGATTCTACATGTCAAAGAAAACACAGCAGCAAGGAGATACACTGTGCAAAGAGTATGACCACTCAATTATAATTGTTAAAAAGCATGATGGTAGGCAGTATGGGTGATAAGTTAGTGGCTCAAAGCCAGAAATAAAAGAATGACAATGTGAAAACTGCAAAGACTCAGAGCATAATAATTACTGTATTCTTTTACGGAGTCCTTTTACTCACAGAACTAATTCTTGAATGAGACCAAATCAAACTTTGTATGATTTGAATAATAACACAGAAAAACTCTATAGAAGACTATGAGTCAAAAATGACCAGTACTCACAGAAAACTTCTCATATAGCTGGTAAGTGAGCAGAGGGTTTGGGAGTTCTCGGAAGTAGAGCTTACAGAGGGAACCCACAGAATGAATGTCTTGAACATAAGGCTCTTTTGTCAGGTCGGGGACATGCTCAGAATCAAATTCATGGCTAACCCAGAGAGAAAAGGACAAGACAAAATAACTTGATGAAGGGAAGAAAACACGTCATACAACCAGAAAGCAGGCAGTATCCCCAAATGTTCACCTCTGCTTCAAGTGAGGTGCTTTTTTCTTAAAATTATTGGGTATAACTAAGCTACATCTGGACTTCAGTAGTAACTGTATATACTATCATTAGATAGACATCTATGTAGAAATTAAGGGCACAGCTTTAATATTGAAATGGAAATAACTTCTAGCAACAAAGGTTCACCTTTACTTCAGTGAGTTGCTATGTAATATATGAAATATAATGATTTCTCCAAATCATTATATTTCATATATATTACATTTGGACTTTGATAGTAAATGAATATTTTATTATAACACAAGTATCTGTGTACATGGAAATTAAAGACATACCTTCAGTATTAAAATGGACAGTAACATCTGAAATCATACAAATGACAAGGAAAACTCCTAACTTCTAATGGTATGAATATCTAATATTTTGGCCACTCCAGAAACCAGGTTTGAGTGGCAACTGGCCATGAAGTAGGACTTCTACAAGTCATATGGCTCAGCAATGCTCTGCTGACACAGGGCAAGAAAGCCGAACGCAATAAAAAACAACTCCTAGCTGATGCCAAATTTCAAGACAATAAAATCTTGCACTATTGACATAAGTAAAATAAAAGTTGTCTTCAGCATACTGAGTCAGATTAAATGTACTCTCCAGAAGATGAATTACTATTAATCAACAGTTTAAATCTATCTACCCTCTACCTAGACAAGCAATATTTATGGGCAATGCCTTTGAGATTTACTGTGTCTGAAACTGTACTCATTTCTCACAACAAAGATTAGCTCTATAGTCAACTGAAGCATGCAAATTCTCATAGCATAACAACAGCTGCCATGCATGCAACCAGAAAAAGGAAAGGAGACTATCACATTGGGAACAGACTAGAATCCAAAGGATAAGAGAAAATATAATTGCTACTGTAGGTGTACAATGACAACACTACTGGTGTTTCAGAGAAGACACTGGAGAGGACGCAGAACAGCAACACATATGTGCTGGATAGCTTTAGTGTCAACTTGACACACCTGGGTTGAGGGAGCCTCAATCAGGGAATTGCCTCTATTGGACTGGCCTGTGGTCATGTCTGAGGGGCATCTTCTTGATGAGTGACGTGGGAGGGCCCAGCCCACTGTGGGTGGTGCCACCCCTGGGCAGGTGGGCCTGTGTTGCATAAGAAAGCAGGCTGAGCAGGAGCTGAGGGAGCAAGCCTGTAAGCAGCATTCCTCCATGGCCTGTGCTCCAGCTCCTGCCTCCAGGTTCCTGCCCTGAGTTCCTACCTTGGGCTCCCTGATGAACTGCGTGCGACCTGGGAGATGTAAGACAAATAAACCCTTTCCTCCCCAAGTTGGTACTGGTCAGAGTGTTTTGTCACAGCAATGAAGAACAAACTAAGACAACATACATCCTTGAGTCCACACTACAGAACTGGGGTCAAAGGTATTTCAAAAAGGATTTAGACTCAACCCGTTTAACCGAAAACCAAAGAATAATGCTGTTTTAATGAAATTCTCATTTTCATCCTTTCATTTTTATGTTTATCAGGAGATCATATTGAATTCACTAAAAATTGTCCAACATTCTATTTTTTAAATTTTTATTACATTTATCTGTGTGCACGTGCATGAGTGCACACACATACATGACACAACACACATGTGGAGGTCAAAGGCCCACTTTGGGTAATTGGTTCTCTTCTTCTACCATGTGGATCCCAGGGATTGAACTCATGTCACTAAGCTTGACAGCAAGCACCTTTACCTGCTGAGTGACCTTGGAAGCCCTTTTCCAACAGTTTAAAGGGATAAAATACAGTATTACTAAAGAGATTAATGTGATGGTTCTCTGACAGATAATGAAATGCTGCTTAGAAAATTATACACAGATAATATGAATACTGTTTCCTAGTTTATCTCAACCATGTTACTGAAAATTAAGATTATCAAAGTTACTGTTTTTAAAATAATTTCATTTTTATGAGTTAAATAATAATAAAAAAGAAAATGTCACTGGCAGTTTTACCGTAGTCTCTGTATATTGGAGGCAACTCCGGAGAGACGATATATTCCATCCACAATGCCATACCTCTCAATGAATGCTGTGCAGCTTTGAAGAACCTGGGGCACTGGAGAGAATTTTTAAAGACATAGATTAAATTATTAGTATTCAGTGGAACCAAAGTCACACACACAAAAAATCTTGATTCTCATAAGCAAAATAAAATTCATAGAGGGAAGTACATCAGTCCACTATATTAATAAAAAAAGAGGAAATAGATTTTTTAAAATTTTATTTATTTTTATTTTATGTGTATGTGTGTATTGCCTACATGTAGGTAAGTACATCTGTGTCATGCAATGCCCGCAGAGGTCAGAAGAGGCTGTTGGATCCCCTGGGATTGGAGTTATGGACAGTTGTTAGCTGCTACATGGGTGCTGGGATTTGAACCCGGGTCTTCTGTAAGAACCAGTATTCTTAACCACTGAGCCATCTCTCTAGCCCTAGAAATAGTTATTTAATGTCATGTTTAAACTAGGCAGCTACTTCTCCAGTAATCAAGCCTAGCTATGTCCACATATGGTTTGGACAGTCTCCTACAGCAGACTCATTTACATTAGGTGGCAGCAGAAAAATAGTTTAACCCTGGCACCATGACAGATCAAATGATTTTACAAAGTTAACTGCTTATCCCAACAACATATTATTACCTATAAGTGCTGCAATGTTTACTCCTAAACATGTTTATCTTCCAGTCAATGCTAATTCTAATTTTACCCAATGAGTAAAACACTATATATGCACACAATATATTTAAAGGTCAAAGCAATTTCAATTAGAAAAATCTTGTCACTTCCTGCCCATCTTTACATTAAGTTTACTGACATTTGGCTTGATATTATCCAGTCACCATAAAGGATACTTTTAAGGAAGGAAAAATTCTGTCTGTTAGCTCAGTGAACATACACAAAAGGACAGCTATTTCAGGGTCTATGATCTAGAACATAAATTTGAAAGTATATGATAAACTTTTGTAACCATTTAAATCTTTACAATAGCCAAGACTTAGCACTGTTCATTTTGTAATACATATTAATCAGTACACAAGATTTCTTAATGGTTGTTTTGTAAGTTTAAAAAAATCTCTGAAAAGCAATGCTTGGAGGGAATTATTTCATCTGTAAAGAGCTACTCACTAAGAGCAAAAGATCCAAAGAGGTAAATGAAGCTAAAGAACAATTCTGCCTACTGCATTTCACCTACAGTACATTATGTCATTCTTTTATTATAAAAGACTATCTTGGTTTTACCACCTTTTGCTGGAAGTCATGCAACCCATTTTAAAAATTCTATCAGATCTTTTATCTTACATCTAAAACTTGAAACTCTTTATTTGGGATTAAAAATAAAAAAGCAGTGGCAGAGGCTGGAGAGATGGCTCAGTGGTTAAGAGCACTGACTGCTCTTGCAGAGGACCCAGGTTCAAATCCCAAGCACCCACATGGCAGCTAACAACCATCCATCCATAACTCCAGTTCCAGGGGATCCGATGCCCTCTTCTGACTGCACGACACGGATGCACTTACATACATGCAGGCAAAACATTCATATACATAAAATAAAAATAAATAGGGGCTGGAGAGATGGCTCAGCAGTTAAGAGCACTGACTGCTCTTGCAGAGCACCTGGGTTCGATTCCCAGTGCCCACATGGCATCTATGAACCATCCTTAACTCCAGTTCCAAGGGAATCCAAAACCCTCTTCTGACCTCCGCGGCACTGCACGACACTGATGCACTCACATACATGCAGGCAACATGCTCATACACATAAAATAAAAATAATAAATAAAATAAAAAAATAAAGTTTTTAAAAAGGCAGTGGCAGACAGTATTGAGCACTTCATATATGCCAGGATTAGTCCTTACAATGTAGACTAAAAATACTTATCTATCTGTCTGTCTGTCTGTCTGTCTGTCCGTCCATCCATTTATTTATCTGCGTGTATGTATGTGTGTGTGAGGTCAGAGGAACTTGTGGGAGATGATTCTCTCCTTCTAGCATGTGGTTCTGAGGAACAAACTCAGGTCTTTAGGCTTGGCGACAAATGCCTTTACCTGCTAAGCCATCTCATCAGCCCTACAATACATGCTCTCTAATTCTCAAAGAAATTGTATGGGCAAAGTATTATCATTATTCCATTTTATAGAGATGAAACTGCATCTTCAGAAATGATATTTCACCCCGAGAAAAGGAGGAAACAGTGATGGCAATTCTAACTCAAGTGGTACAAGCACACAAAACCAACATGTTCTTTAACTATTGCAATATATTACTGATGCTTACAGTCACAATTTACACTTACTACCTTGTTTGTGTATTTTACAATTCTAGGGCAACCGAAATCTCACTCTTTACTACACAAACTAGCAAGTCTATGATTCTTTCATAAAACTATTTCTTCTCCCCATCCACTTTCATCATATAGGAAGCACTAGTCTATTGTTCTAATCCTGTTGTTCTAACCCAGTTAACTATCATTCTTAAGTCTTCACCAAACACCCACAAGTTAAGAAACTGTGTTCTACGCTCTCACAGAATGATATGACTTCCAAGTGTCATTTATTTGTTTATATGACATTACCCCTTCATAACTGTGAGCTCTTCCAGGGAGGAAAAAACAAAACAAAACAAAACAAAACAGGTTTCTTCCATTTTTGGTTATTCAACACTCAGGAGTGTTAACTGTCCTGATGAGACAAGGTACAAAAAAAAAAAAAAAAAAAAAAAAAAAAAAAAAGGTTTAACGTGCAGATGCCCCAAGAGCCAGAATTACTAACAGGGAGGGGACTTGGTTTTCATATGGAACTATATGTATTTTTGGCTGTGTACTTCTACCTCTAAAAAGTATTCCAAGAATTTTAGTAACAAGCAAGTGATATGTTTACATAGTAGAGATGAAGAGCAGGTAGTAGGGCTTTTGGATATTTTTGTGGGTTCTTTGAAATAAGCAATCTGTGTCTAAGTGGTATGCTAACTATGGAGCATCTTACAGGAGCTTGAGTCCCATTTCCAATATTGCTTCATCACTGATAACCTCAGTGCCTTCAGATTTTATTCTACCAACTAGAAATGGAATAAAATTTGGAGTTAAAAATTTCTGTCACCAGGGCCGGAGAGATGGCTTGGCAGTTAAGAACACTGGTTGTTCTTGCAGAAGACCCCAACTATCCATAACTCCAGTCCCAGGGGATCTGACAGCCTCTTCTGACCTCTATAGGCATTGTATGACATGGGTGCACTTACCTACATGCAGGCATTAGACATATACACATAAAATAAAAATAAATAAAATTAAAAAAGATTCTGTCACCTACTTTAAAGCAAATATATTAACTGATTATAGATATAATTAACACAATTACTTTAAAAGAAAAACCAGAACTCTAGTTCTTGTGTGTTGTACATTCATGCACGTGTGAATATGCGAGATAGAGTGTACATGTGGAGCCAACCCTCACCTTCCACCTTGTTTGAGATTGGGTCTCTCCTATTCCATGGCAGACAGCCAGGCTAGCTCCCCTACAAGCTCTAGGGATTTCCTGCCTTACCTTCCATTTCCCCAGCCTGGGGTCACAGACACTCATGCCATTCTTCAGGCTGGCTTTTACAGAGACTCTGGAGCTTCAAACTCAGGTCCTTATACTTGCACAGTACTTTTACTCACTGAGCCATCTCCCCAGTCTTTAGTTCTTTTTATTTTTTAAAGATGCTTTTCATGGGGCTGAGGAGATGGCTCAATTGGTAAAGTGCTTGCCACACACGTACAATGACATGAATTCAATCCCTAGCATGTATATAAAATTTTCGCACAGTGGTGTATACTTGTGATCCTAGTACTAGAGAGGTGGAGGACGAAAGGATCCTTGGAGCTTAGTGGTCAGTCAGTATAGCCTAGTCAGGGAGCTCCAGTTTCAGTGAGACTCTGTTTCAAAAAATTAGGTGGAGAGCAATTGAGGAAGGCATCTAACATCAACCTCTAACCTCTGACCTACACACACACACACATACACACACACACACACACACACACA